ATAATTTTTTTGTCTGTATGTGGGGGCACAATTTAATTCATAACACAGTCCAATGTTATGTGTAGCTGTGGCTCATCTGGTCTTGCTACTAGCTATTAGCTAGCCACTATCCTGTTGCAGGAAGGAGCTCTGGTAGTGTAGTGGTTACTAATTGGGCTGCAAATCTCAAGGTCAGCAGTTCAAAACTACCAGCTGTTCTGTGGGAGAAAGATGAGGCTTTCTGCTCCCGTAAAGATTTATAGCCTCGGAAACCCTGTACGGGTTGCTATGAGTCAGAACTGACTCCACGGCACATCACAACAACAACAATAATCCTGTTGTAGGAGCCCTGGTGTGGCACTGTGGGTTAATGTGCTGGTCTGTAACATCAGTTTGATCTGCAAAGTTGGCAGTTCAAGCTCACCCAGCCATTCCTCGGAAACCCTAAGCAGGGTTGCTATAGGTCAGAAGCTACTCAGTGGCACTTAACAACAACATCCTGCTGAAGGAGTCCTGATGTGGCAATGTAGGATCAAGCACTCGACTGCTAATCACAAGTTTGGTGGTTCAAACGCACTTATTGGAAGCCCCATACAGGGTCACTATGAGTCAGAATTGACTTAATGGCACTAACAATTACTCTGTTAATGGACATTCAGTCCTTTCCATATGTGTTTAGGGTTCCCACTCCTTTCATTATCATGAGGAATGCTGTTTCTCGGTGGTGGGCATGCTTCTGGTTCATGTTTGTAGAAATCTGTATGACTTCAGCTCTGTTAAGATAGGATACTGTTTTCCAAAGGGGTTATACCAATTTACACCCTGTCAACATTATGTAAAAGTTCTTAGTGATCCACATCTTTGTCAACTCGTAGTATTATCGGACTTCTTAACTTTTGCCCACCCAGATGGTGTAAGAGTCATTGGGGTTCAGAATTCTTGCCTTCCATGTGGGAGGCCTGAGTTTGATTCCTATCTAATGCATTTCATGATCAGCCAGCCACCATCTGTGTCACTAATGGCTTATGTGTTGCTATGATGTGAAACAAGTTTCACTGGAGCGTCCAGACCACGGCAGGCTACGAAGAGAGGCCTGGTAACATTTCATTGGCTTCTGTAAACCAAGCCAATGACAAGCCCATGGATCACAATGGAACACTGTCCAATCTGCAACTGATCATGGAAGAAGTGCAGGAGTGGAGAGCATATTGTTCAACTATGCATGGGGTCGCTGAGTTGGGGGCCAATGGGAAGACAGCCAACAACCCACCCACAGAGGGCATAAACAGGCATCTCACTGTGGTTTTGATCGGTCTTCTCTAAAAACTAGTGTTAACCTTTGATTGTTCAACTGCTTGATTCAAAAAGACCCCACCCCCACCCCGCTTTGTCCCTTAAAGTACTTGGAGTTGGGTTTTTGTCACTGGCAAATTTACAGGTCCCCATGCACCAGTATTGGGAAAATCGGTGTACCTTAAAGTCAAACTGTATGTCCATGTATTTTCCAAATCTGCTAGAGTTGTCATTCCGGAGCGTTTTGGCATTTCCAAAAGCCTTGAGATACAAAATAGAGAGAGCAGGGTTGACTGAACCAAATAGTTATTCATTGTCATTTAAACTTACCATGCTTGTTAAATTCCTTACTCCAAATACCATGTTTATTGTGGGAAAGAAGAAAGGGGAACAAGGGATGAAATTGAGATAGGAGCTCTGGTAGCGTAGTGGTTACGAATCGGGCTGCGAACCTTAAGGTCAG